TCTAACAGACAAGAATTCTCCTTTATTCTCTCTTCAGTCGGGTAGGTTCATCTTGACGCTGAGGTCTGTGATAGGATATGGTGTGGTTAGGCTCTCGACTTGTTTTCCACTTACATCTTGGAGGGTAGCAACACTGCCTTGACTGCCTATGTCGAGGCATTCGATTCTTTATTGGAGGGATACTGGAAACCAGCGGTAGGCTGCTCTTGATTCACCGTTATTACTTCCTCACTTATAACTGCAGGTCAACAAGGACGAGCCTATGAATCCTGATGATGATGAAGGGCAGAGGCTTGAGGCCCTTATCAGAAGGTTCCTTCAGACCGTCCGTGCTCCATTAGAAGTCGAAAACCTGAAGACAACCCTCGGGCATATTGCTGATGCCCTCGAGGGTGTTGTCGGCCTCGGGAGTTTATGGAGTGATGCCAGAATACAGTACATCCTTGCAGGCCGCTCTCCCAGCGATCTCAATGACGTGCTCCCTTCCATTAAGGACCATTTGGACACTGTTGAAGGCAATCGCGATGACCTAGTGTCCCAATGTATCAACACTATCACAAAGTGGTTGGGCCCTGAGTTCCCGATACCACAGGTGTCTGCATTAGCCTCTAGCAGTGACTATCGGCTCAGGCTGCTTGCCGTGCAGTTATATAACACTCGAGATAGCGATGAACGCTCGGCTGCTATTACTGCCCTTTGGCGAGGTGGCCTTTGTAGGGACTCCAAGTTGGCAGTTCGTGAGGAAGCCTTCAGGGCTGTTACTCACTTGAGGATGTTGTTGTGAAGTACTGTGCGCTATTCATTTGTTAATAACACAGATATGTTCAGAGTTGAGTTTCTGTATTCTCGTTTCTAATGGGCATCCATCAGTGACTACTCAGTTGAGGAAATTGAAGAGAATTCGGGGGAGGTGACCAAGTGGAGATCGAGTCTAATACCACTCAAGGACCTCCTTCTATGCGGTGACCAAGAAGTGGCTAAATCAACTGCCTATTATTATCACCCCAAACGTTATCGCGATGAGATAGTGTGCTAATACGTCTATGTGTAACATTCTCCATACCACCTCACTGCTCCTGTAGCAGTCCTCTACATACTGCAGGGATCTCGGCTCTGGTAGGTTTTATAATTAGACACTAATTTTCAGCCGGTGGAACGATACTTGCACTCGAGGGCACACTG